GAATAAATATCTTTTTTAAAAATCTTAAATTTCTTAATAAAAAACAACAAACTGAGATACATACCTGCAATTCACACAACCAACAGATTAGTAGAGAATGTACACGGAACTCTAAAATTCAGTAAGACAAAATAATCCAAAGGAGTAATAAGTAAAAGTAACAAGCAGGTAACTTACAGAAAAAGAATACAAAATAACCAAGAAATAAGTAAAAAGATGCTCAACTTGACTAGCAATGAAGCTGAAATGAAAACTGCCCTATTTCACACTCATCGACTTGGCATAGACTTAAAAATATGACACCCAGTGTTCATAAGGATGGTGAACAAGAAAGAACTTTACTGCCATTGCTGGTGGGAGTAAAATCTCCCACAAGCGCTTGGAAAGGTAGTTCTGCACTAATAATTTGCAAGTTTTCACTACCTATACTTTAAGTAAGGAATTTTACTTCAAGATATAACTCCTAGGGAATCTCTCACTCATGTAAACAAGAAAACCTGGATAAGAAGTTTCACACACTGTTGTCTATGGCAAAAACCTTGAAAAAAACTTCATGTCCAACGATAAGAGAATTAACAAATAATGTGGTGTATTCATATGGTGGAATACCACACAACTGTTAAAATTAATGAACTAGAGCTACAAATATCAACAGAAATAATTCACAAAAATGCTGAATGACAAGATACAAATGACAAAGAATGACAATATTTTTTATGAAGTTTAAAAACATGCAAAAAAAGATAGTGTATTTGTGTATGTGTTATTTGTATTATAATGGAGAATGTTTAACACTGAGAAAGAATAGGATTAGGAATAAAACAGGAAAAGAATAGCTGCTAAATGTTCCAAAGAATTTCAACTCTATCTTGAATGTTTTCTTTAAAAAAAAAAAAAAAGTGTGGCAATATCAGGCTTGACAGAGTTGGCTAATAGGAAAAAGACTTTATATCATATCCTGTACTTTATGTTAAAATACATCAATTAAAATGTTAAGAATGTGAAGACTTAAGGTTATAAACAAAATACAGAAAGAAATTAACTATTAAAGTGATCACTCTCATCCATAACCAAAAAATTCAACTAATATTTTGCAAAATTTATAGCAACCTCACTGTGTTCAAGAATTGTCTAAGAGGGGAGCCTGGGTGGCTCAGTGGGTTAAAGCCTTTGCTTTCGGCTCAGGTCATGATCCCAGGGTCCTGGGATGGAGCCCCTCGTCCGGCTCTCTGCTCAGCAGGGAACCTGCTTCCCCTGCTCTCTTTGCCTGCCTCTCTGCCTACTTGTGATCTCGGTCTGTCAAATAAATAAAGAAAATCTTAAAAAAAAAAAAAAAAAAGATGTCTTTCGGGACACCTGGGTAGCTCAGTTGGTTAAGCATTCAACTCTTGATTTCAGCTCGGGTCATGATCTCAGGTAGTGAGACTGAGCCCCCAAGCTGGGCTCCGCACTGGGTGTGGAGACTGCTTTGGGTTCTCTCTCTCTCCCTCCCCCTCTGCCCCTCCACCTCCGCTCTCACAAACTCAAATAAATCTTTTCTTTTTTAAGAAGTCTCCTTTCAAGATAAAACTTCACACTTCAATCCACTGTGTCATTAAGTGTTTTATAGAGGTAGAATTTGAGCTCAGCTTTGTGAGGCATAAGTTAGTATATCTATAAGGAAGGCAATACTAAGGTTGTTGAAAAAAGAAAAAGGATATCAGTAAATAGAAAATGGCACAAAGGCAGAAAATACCCTCCCCCAACCTGGCAAAAAAGGTTGTCTGGCTTGAGTAGGGAGAAAAAAGATGTGCAAGTCACAACTGAGCTAGAGTTGGGGAGAGAAAAACCAAGTCGTGACCTGGGAAGCAATGTAATGACACTGGAAAAACTGGCATAAAATATAAGAAAATGACATCTTCCTTTTTAATATTATCTTCTCAGTCTTCCTACTGTAGCTCTGTCCCTCATATTTCACCTTCCCTTGAAATCTCTCAGAATGGCTGTCCCAACCAAGCTCCACCTCAAGAACCCTATACAACCACTTTAAGATGTGGAGGTAGGGGAGGATTAATAAAATTAATAAAAATTAATAAAAATTAATAAATAAAATAAATTACATAAATAACTTTAATAATATATATGAATAATTATATAAATTAATTAAATTAAATTAATAAAATAAAAATTAATAAAATTAAGATTTTATTTATTTGACAGAGAGAAATCACAAGTAGGCAGAGAAGCAGGCAGGGGCGGGGTGGGGTCGGGGGAAGCAGGCTCCTGGCTGAGCAGAGAGCCTGATGCGGGACTCTATCCCAGGACGCTGAGACCATGACCTGAGCAGAAGGCAGGGGCTTTAACCCACTGAGCCACCTAGGTGCCCCAAGTATTCACATTTTATTTTATTTTTTAAGACTTTATTTATTTATTTGACATAGATCACAAGTAGGCAGAGAGGCAGGCGGGGGGTTAGGGGAAGCAGGCTCCCCGCTGAGCAGAGAGCCTGATTCGGGGCTGGATCCCACATGACCTGAGCCGGAGGCAGCGGCTTTAACCCACTGAGCCACCCAGGTGCCCCGATATGTTTTATTTTTTTGCTTGACACAGCTTCAAAGGAATTTTACTGAACAAAACAAAAATCCAGATTTGAAGAAATCAAATAAAATACTTGAAAAGTCACATTGCCATATCTAACATACCCTTCAGGGTTTGCAGGATCTGACTCCAAGAAAAAAACAGGAACCTGTTGGAGATCCTTACTTCCTAGGCTTTGGCTTGCTTCCATTTGACAAGTCATATACCATCAACAACTTAGGAATGCCTTTGTAGACATCTTGACCCCCTACAGCTTTTTCTCAAGGTCTGAGGGAAGAATTTCTTCCCGACATGAATGATGTCAAGACAAGAATGCTCGACCTCCACTGAAACTGCACCTACAAAAGGAATGTTCATCTTTAAAAACCCTTAATTATAAAATGACCATATACATATAGTTAGAGGTGATTACTTCCTGCAGGCAGAATTACTGTCAAGAAAGGAGAGGGAGAGAGAGATAGGATAATGTTAACATCTTTACAAAGAAAGCATGTGCCTCAAAGTCCTTGTTGTCTTTTCAGGGAAGATGACTTTTAAAGAGAAAGAATGTAAGGCATCTTGTGTATTTCCAGCAATATATTTATTACATTATATTACATTATCATTTTACATACGTATGTATCCTCCATTAGACTGAGAGTTCCTCGAGGGCAAGAATTCAGTCTATTAAATTTTTGTGTCCCCAGAAATTAACACAATACAGATACACACACTAATCATTCAATGATGTTTTTTGAATGAAAAGTGAACAGAAGAATGACCAGAAAAAACCCCAATGGTAATAAAAATCAGACTGACACAAAAAGGGTAAGTGAAAAGGCAATGACACTGCAAAGCAACATATTCTAGACATCTCACGTTAAATAACAACTTGCTTATATTACTTAACTATTTCAAATTAAAAGGAAATTTCTGTTCTGAAAAACGTTAACATATAACTTTTCTTCTGTGATATGGATTTAAGGGCAATTTAAACTCCATATAATTTCATTCCACTTTTTCTATTAATCCCATTCATGTGTCTATTTTTTTAAAAAGATATTTATTTATTTATTTATTTATTTATTTATTTATTTATTTGAAAGAGAAAGCAAGTGAGCAGTGGGGAGGGACAGAGGGAGTGGAAGAAGCAGACTTTCCACTGAGTGGGGAGCTGGATGCTGGGCTGGAACCCAGGACCCAGAAATCATGACCTGAGCTGATGGCCCATCTGACTGAGTCACTCAGGTGCCACCCATTCACATGTCTAAAAGAAGTTATTAGTGGGGGGCACCTGGATGGCTCAGTTGGTTGAGCATCTGACTTTTGATTTCAGCTCAAGTCATGATCTCAGAGTCATGATCTCAGAGTCATGAGATCAAGGCCGTGTTGGGCACAGAGCTTACTTGAGATAGTCTCTCTCTCTTCCCCACCTCCCCTCAAGGAAAAGAAGAAAAAGTAGTAGATGATGTTGTTGTTACTGGTGGGCCTCAATCAAACTTGCTCTTTTATCCTCAAACTGTCTTTTGGATAGTGACTTCAATCACACTTGAACTAACAAGTACTTGAAGCTGTGACTGGTGGCATTGCCAATGAAATAATCCATACACGGCAGTGTTTTCTGTTTGAACAGTAGTGCCTCCTTTCCTACTGTAATATTAAACTGTGATCCACTATGCCATACAGGGACTTTAGGAATCACTGAGGGGAAGGTCAGTTTATTTTACTGTTCTTCTAGTGCCCAAAGTAAGTTCTCATATCCTATCATCTTTTCTCTCATTCCACAGTTACTAAAAACATCATCGCTCTTACAACTCCAACAAATAAAACAGGAGTTCTAAACTGTTTTGAGATCCTAGGGCTTTTTCATACCCTAAGACAGAACATCTCGGAGCACTTGCGCCATCCAGGGATAGAGAGTAACACTTCACACCATTGTGAATAAATCCTGAAGCTGTGCTAACAGAGCTTGGACGCGTTTGTATAGGAGCGAGGTGAAAGAGGGTTTTCCTATTGAATGGAGGCAAGTCGGGGTCTCTTGTGTTGGGCTGCCTCAGACAGGAGGGTCTTTCCACCGCTGCATCATCCACAAGTTGGGGCGGGGGGGGAGGTGATGAACCAACTGTAGACGGAGCAGGAAGTTTGTATCATCAACTCCACGATTGCTTACTTGGTCCAGTCCCCGGCGAGCCAGAGGCTCTTCCCTATTCCTACGCTCGGCGAGGGGAACAATCTTTCCGGGACTCCGACCTCAGGTGTGCAAGAGGCACTCTCCAGGCCGCTAGCGACGCGTCAAGGTATCCCCCTGAAAACTCCGGGCGGCGTGGCAGCGGCGCCGCCCCCTTCTCTCCCTTAGCTCGGCTTTCCAGTCCCCGGAGCCGCCGCCGCCCACTTTCTAGCACAACAAACAGCAGCAGCGGTCCGAGCCCGTGCCCAGCACTTACCCACGTCCTGCTCGAAGGGGTTAGCGGTGAACAGAGGCATCTTGCCGACCCCGAGCCCTAATCGCTGCGGTCTGGCTGTCGCTCGGCCGCTGTTCCAGGTTGGGTGACCCGCGGCCGGCACTTCCTAGACGGCTCCGCTCCGACCGCGTCTTCGCACTTCCGCCACAGCACCTGCCCGGCTCCCGCCTGACCGGCCACTCCGAGTCCGCACTCCACGCCGCGTTCCGGCCTAATTCTCTTTCCCGGTCGAGCTCCGCTGGCGTGCGGATCCTCTCAGCGCTCCTGTCGCCGCGGCCTCCCGGGAAAAGGCAGCAGCCCTTGTCCCAGTGTTCCGTGAGGGTTCAGGCGGCCGCCGCGGCCACCTTTCCATCGCTAGGACCTCGGCAAGCCACGGAGCAGGGGACCTTCGGGGCCGGAAGTTGTCGTTCCTAGAACTGGGCGACCCTAAAAGCCCGGAAGCCACCGTGCGGAGGGCGACACTGAAGGGGAGCGGTTGTGTGGGGTGTTCCGCGTTCAGAGGATCTAGTTCTCGCTCATTTAATTCGTTCCTAAACTTGCAGCCTAATCCCTCGAGGGCGGACCAGTGGCTGCATTGCGTCACAGTCCCGTTGCCCTGGGAACGGATGGAGTCTCGGCTTCTAACCCCTGCTGGAATAACCACCCTGGAAAGCAGTGGTCGAAGTAACTATAGCTCTGTGGGGATTCCCTAACTGTTCGCTTTCCATCTTGTTTTCGCCCTGAAAACACTGCTCGACTCTGGGATTCCAAAGACGAATGAGGCACACACTTCCTACCTTCAAGTTCCTGACAGTCCTTTAGAGCCAGACCGTGTATAACGATCCTGATAGGAGCCACAGATGAAGTTTCCGTAGGAGCCAGCCAGTTATTTACGTGAATAGGAAGTGCAGGTGCACTTCCCAACCACAATTTCCCCATCCCTCTTAACCCTGCCCCCTGCTTGCTTTATCTATAGCAGTTACCACTTCCTAAACTTAACTGTCGTGTTTTCTGTCTCCTCTTTAGCATAGAAACTCCATGACCAGTTTTGTTCACTGCTTTATCTCCAGCATCCAAAAGAGTGTCTGGCAAGTGGTAGGTGCTCAGTAAATACTTTTCCAGTGTAGTTATGACTGTCCAACTGAACAACACATACCCAAAGATGGCAGCTGCTAGTAAACGTGAGTCATTTTTTGAAGTGTGGGCCCTACGAGAACTTAGAATTTTTCAACAATTTTTATTTTTTTTATTTTTTTTTTTAAAGATTTTATTTATTTATTTATTTGACAAACAGAGATTACAAGTAGGCCGAGAGGCAGGCAGAGAGAGAGGAGGAAGCAGGCTCCCTGCTGAGCAGAGAGCCCGATGCGGGGCTCGATCCCAGGACCCTGGGATCATGACCCGAGCCGAAGGCAGCGGCTTTAACCCACTGAGCCACCCAGGTGCCCCTCAACAATTTTTAAATGTTAAGAATTATTTCCACATTTTAACAATGGGTCAAATAGAAACATTTGCAGCCACAGAACCCTTATACATAGAATAGTTCAGAAAGGTGATTGCATGTTCTATGAAGCTGGTACACAAATAAGAAAAATTTGCAGGTGAAGGGAAATGGTTTTCAAAAAATTACGTTTGGAGACTTCCTAGGATTAAGACTTAGAGTTGGAATGGAAAACAGGACTAGATAAAGAGGAAACAGATTGGGAAGAACTTTCAAGAAGCTAAAATATTTTAATTTCAGTATATAAGGCCCTAAATACTCATTTAAAGATTTTGAGCAGCAGAGTAACATAGTTTAAAAAAAAAAAAAGTATCTGGATAGTAATTAGACATCAGTGGGCACATGTGTCTGAAGTAGCAGAATCTCAGAACAGTTTAGCAGGTTATTACAGCCCTTGAAAGCCATTAGAAGCGTACTAAACAAAGGGCTGAGGATTAGCCTTTGGAAGGTATTCCCATTTTAAAGATTTTATTTTATTTATTTGACAGACAGAAATCACAAGTAGGCAGAGAGGCAGGAAGAGAGAGTTGGCGGGGTGGGGGGAGCAGGCTCCCCGCTGAGCAGAGAGCCTGATGTGGGGCTCCATCCCAGGATCCTGGGATCATGACCTGAGCCGGAGGCAGGGGCTTTAACCTGCTGAGCCACCCAGGTGCCCCAAGTATTCACATTTTAAAGACACTTCTCACCTTGAATGCCAAGCATACTCAAGAATCTGTAAGTATTTACCTTTCTCTGTCTGTACTCAACCTCTTGGTGAGTTTGTCCAATTAGCAAATTTCTTAATAGTCCCTAAGAGCCAGATTCTGTTAGAAACAAGAGGATACAGAGATTGTTCATTGCAACTTCCCCTGATGAAGTTATTGAAGAATTAAAAGATACGTCAATGGCAGCTCACAGATTCTGCCGTGTGAAGAAATACAGCTTTTATATTTTTCCGTGATATGACATCTTTTGAGCCCCTATAACAGGGGCTCCCTGATAACAGAAAATAATCTTATCAAGTTCGGTTCAGTTCAGTTCTTGGTTATTTTGGATTTACACTCAACAGATCTAGAATATCCTTACCTCAGAGCACATTCCGTGAACATATACCAAGATCCATCCCCAGCCAGGTATGTTCTTCCAATTCTGCCAGTATGTGTTTGGTGAATAATCTTTTTTATTCCAAAACAGGGACAGTGCTTCCCCAGTAAGGCCATGATGGAAGTTGACCCTAGTTATTGGCTTAGAAACACTGGAGATAGTTGTGGCAAATCTTAAGGGAATCTAGCATCTTGGAAGGCATTTTTCTCGGGTGAGACTTCTGCATGGTTTTCAAAGGGAGGTCACTATCCTACAGCAAGGGCAAGTGTACCTTGTCCAAAGGATTGAGGTAAATCTATCAGCTCAATGTTCTCCAGAGTTTCCACCATGATATCTCCATCCTAGATCTCAAGGTCTCATGATTCTCCCTTCCCGGCCCTGACTTTAATTTAGGAGACATGCTGTGGGTTATGAATTCAACCTTCTAATTTCACTATGCTCACAGTCAGGACCTGAGTTTGATTTCTTTTTGTTTAAACTCTAATCTGTCCCTGTGGCTATAGTAAATAAAGCTCTTGGATTCTCTCTCACTCTTTCATTTTTTCCTTTGTGTTTTAGTTTAGATAATCTCTCTTTCTGATGAATGGTACATGAATGGTATAGTCTTTTTTTAATGAATTTCTAAAGCATTTTGTTTGAGTTTTTTAAAATTTTGGAATAATTTTAGATTTACAGAGAAGTTACAAAGATAGTGCAGAGAGTTCTCACTTGCCCCTCACTCTGTTTCTCCCATTGTTAAGATCTTATAGTTCCATGAAATATTTACAAAGCTAAAAAACCAATATTGACTCATTGCCATTAACTAAACTCCAAACTTTATTTGGATTTTACCAATGTTTACATTATGTCCTCTTTTTTCCAAGGATCCAATCCAGCTGTGTCAAGGTTCTCTGAGACCACCCCCAAGTTTAATGATTTGCCAGGACTCAGGAATCAGCATATAGTCATCCTCATGACTATGATTTATTACAGTGAAAGGATACAAAACAAAATCAGCAAAATCTGGGGTAAAGTCCAGAAGTACAAGCTTCCAAGAGTCCTGTCTCAGTGAAATCACACAGGACATGTTTAATTTCTTTAGGAACAAGTTGTGATAACTAGAACTGTTGTCTGCCAGTAAACTCACTGCAGATTCAGTGCCTAGGATTTCTATTAAGGGCTAGTCACACAGGTACCTTCTAACTAACAAGCACCCAAATTTCTAGACTCTCAGAAGGAAAGCAAAAAAGTGTTTTTTACTAAACTGTATTGTTTGTATGAACAATTTAGGCACCATGAACCATTCTTATAAGGGAATTGTGGGAACTCTCCCAAAATCTAAGTTCCCAGACACCAGTCAAGGGCCAGCCTTGCAAACAGGCCTTTCCAAGGACAGCAATCTCAAGACTGCTTTGTTAACTCTTTTTTTTTTTTAAAGATTTTATTTGTGTGTGAGAAAGAGAGCAGGCATGATTGGGGGAGGGGCAAAGGGAGAAGTAGGCTCCACACTGGGCAAAGAGCCTGATGCAGAACTCGATCCCAGGACCCCAGGATCATGACTGGAGCTGAAGGCAGATGCCCAACTGACTAAGCCACCCAGGCATTCCTGTTAACTCTTTTCTGCATACCAAGGTAGTACATTTCATTTAGTTGTCATGTCTCCCTAGTCTCTTCTGATTTGTAGCAATTTCTTAGTCTTATTTTCCATGACCTTGATAGCCTTGAGGAATGCCTTTTCATGACCTTGATAGCCTTGATCAGATATCCTATAGACTGTCCCCGAATCTAGATTTGTCTGATGACTTTTTCATGCTTTGATGGGTGTTACGGGGTTTTGGAAAGAAGGTGTCCTCATCACATCATTGTAGGGGGTACATGATATTCGCATGATTTCTGGTGATGGTAACTGTTCAGCACTTCCATTTTATAGTTAATATTTTTCCCTTTCCCTACTCCAAGGAAGCAGGTTACTGAGTCTAGGCCATCCTCAAAGGGAAGGGAGGGAATTAAGCTTTACTTTCCATGTCCCTTTGATGTGCCTCTATTTTTTTTTTTTTTTTTGAGCATTTCTTTACTTTCTGGTATCACAATGCTTCAGTCTCACCTTGTATTTTCTCTGTCTCAGTCTTAGAATGAAACATTTCTCAAAGGAACCCTGGTTTTGAAAGTCTCTTTAAAGGCTGCCATGGGTGGTTTCTAGCTTTCGTGCTATGCCTTGAGTAGATAGCTGGCTAACATGAGCTTGTCATTTCCTTCCTGTAGCACATTAATAATAATTAGGAACAACCAACCAACTCTACAGTTCTTTAATTGTCCTTATCTTTCTCAAATGCTAGAGCTATTATAAAAGCCAGTGCATGCCGTCCTACCTATACTTTCCCCCAGTTTACCATGGTCTTAGTAATTATGATGGTACAGAAGTAGTTTTCAAATTTTGCATCCACGAGAACCAGTGGGAGGGCTTGTTAAACACACTCATTGCTGGACCTCATTCCATAGTTTCTAATTTAGTAAGTCTTTTGTGAAACACAGCCTAACCCCTAACTGGTCAAATGTGAAACCTCCCACTACATACCTATTTTCTTCAGTTT